TAAAAATAGGTTTACAAATTTTTAAAAACATCGAAATCGAAATAAAAAACAGTTGTTTTGCACTCTTTTAAAATAAAAATAATTATTTTCGCCATTTTTTTAGAAGCTTTTAAAAACGTTTTTAACGAAAATTGTGACAATTTTCCATTCATGTTGAAAAAAATGATTAATTACCACAACTTCCACCTTCCCCTACATTTTGTTATTCCAACACACCTCAACTGAATCCGATGAATCACTCCTGTGTCCAATTCCAGCGGAAAGCCCATTCAAAAGTTATAAGTAGTGCAAAACCTGGCAAAGCAGACAATATTTAAAACCTGATAACGAGTTCGAAAGAACCAAAAGTAACTTCTATAAGTCTCGAGGTGATTTATATAAATTACTGCAGACAGCTACATTGCGTTGTAAATTCTTTCTCTGCTTCTCTTCACGGTTAATTGGAATTGTAGCAAAGTAAGCCGATTACATGTTATACATTTTAATACTCTCTCACAGAACTAAAAATAATTAAGGGAAAACTTTGTTTTGTTCGTGCAGCGGTACCGTTTGTAGCCTTGATGCATTAATTAACATATTTGTAACGACGCGACGGTAATAATTAATCAATTTTTTGCTCCGATTTTATTAATGGTGCTCATTTGATTGCAAGTGCCAGTTTTATTACACAATTTTTCACGCTAATGAACAGGTAAAGTGGCAATAAATCGAACTACTGAATTTGATTATGGCCTCCCGGAGACTAATTTTAGTTATTTTGTCCGATGTTTGTGCAAAGAGAGAATTCAAATATCTGCAGTAAATCTACGGAAATTTTCCCCCGACTTCCTCTACTTGGTAAATTCCCCAATCGCATCAAATTCACGCTTAAATTTGTTATTGTCGCCGCAAACAACAATTGTCAAGGTGACAATTTGCCAGTCAGAATCGTCTTTTGTGTCATTGTGTATAAAAGAAAAAAGCGGATTTGAATTTTGCAGAGTGCAGAATGCTCCATTTGGTGAGTTAAGTCGACAATCCTGTCAATAATTCAGTCGAATTGGTGTGTTTCAGTTCATATTTGTTGGTTTAGTGGTGGCGGGTGGAACGGCACCTGCTGCCCGACATTACACGGCTATTTTGGCCCATGATGCTCCAGTAATTCCGGTGGTTAAAGCTGTTCCGGTTGTGTATGCGACACCTGTGCTGTATGCTACTCCGGTCGTACATGCTCCGTTAACACACTCTGTATATGACGAGTATCGATGAAAACTGGGATTATTAAAGAACTGTGTTAGGACATAATGAGAAAAATTTAATTTTAAGGTAGTTTTCTGAATGTTATGCTTTTCAAGGAACTGAAATTGTACAAGATATCTACTTATAATCTCATTTTTAGAGCGTTTGTCTCTTTTGTAATAAGTAATGACTAATAAAATGTTGAAAAATATTGAACTGTATTTTTACTTGTTTATAAAAGCAAAAATAAAATTACCACCACAAAACATTGATTGTAAAATTCATTTCAATTAATTGCTAAATAAAA